TAACAATTTTTAACAAATAAAGAATTTAAAGAGAATAAAGTAGATCATTCTAAATAAAAAATAGATGTACCTTTTCATTGTTTTATTTTTAAATAAAGTAAACATGAATTAATTAAAAAATGACCAACTTGGATGTATACATTTTAACTGTAAATAATTATTTCTAGATCTTACGTATAAAATTCATATATAACAATCTGTCATAACAAAAGTTAAAAAAATGCTGTAAAAATTTCTGAATTCTGGTTGAAAGTTTCGATGAAACTGGTTATTCAATCTGTCAGTTTAACGCGTAAGTCAGATTTTGTTAGCCATGTGATTAAAAGGCTGATTCACACTTCCTGTCCTTTTGATTCTTACACACGTGTATGACTTGACAAATATAAGACTATTAGAATGAAATACTAAAAAGGTCTAGCTAAATAAACCTTATAATTATAAATATTTTCCTTACTTTAAATAATAACTCTTAGCATATAAATAAATAGCCAAAGGAAATAAAAAAAATCGAAGAAATTATTCGAGAGTGCACTAATTGAATTAAATTTAAACTATTTTTCCTTCTGGTATCAAAATTAATCTTACTGAATATTAAAGTCAACTTTCACAAATAATTATAAATATTATTTTGACAAAAAAGAAATTTATTAAATGTAAACTTTCTCAAAGTCTTAAATCGAATAAAGAGAACAAATTTCTTACTGGAAATGAGAAATAGTGTTAAGAAAGTTGTGGACTTTTATAAAAACTTGTAAATATTTCATTTTGCTTTTGACTTTTATAACAGTCAGAAATTTTTTTAAAATGTTCATATTGGCAACAAATTTCGTTTATTTGAACGTTCAGAACTTGTCGTTCATGCCCCCATATACGTTAAAATTCACTTCTGTAGGTGTGATTTCTATCCTTAAATTTGCCCATTATTGCCCTAGGCTATCAATGTGTACTTTATTATTATAGGGTACTGATCAGGGCCTCGACAGTTTTCCTCGTTTGAATAAAGTGTAAATGAATTAAGTTTTTTAAATTAGTTCCCATAATAAAATTATAAACAATTGAAGAAATTAATTAAACGGAGTAATTATGCTACATTTTTAAGAATTTTTTTATCTTATGAGTTTGACCAGAAATTTTGGCCAAAACCCTAAGTGGGGTGTTCACTAGATATGAAATATGGCTCTGATCAGGGCCTCGACAGTTTTCCTCGTTTTAAAATCATGTAAATAAATTTAATTTTTTAAAATTAACTATTTTAATACAGTTATTTAAGTTAAAAAAGCGTGTTCTTTTAAAAAACTTTATAAAATAATTATGGTAATATATTTAAAAAACGAAAATACATATAATTTTTTTTTAAGTACAATATTATAATAAAGTTTATTTATTAATAATAACAACTAAATTATAAATAACGAATAATAATAGTTATTAAATAATTAATTATTATACATTTATTTAAAAATAAAAATTATGAATTTAAAAAATAATAATTAATAAACAATTATTAACAAATTATACTTAATGAATTTTAATAATTATTAATTTATAGGATGAATTTATCATTTGGTTTGTATATATATTATAGGTATTATTTTAATAATAATAATTATTTTATATTATATTAGCTTAAAGTGAGAAAATGATTCGGAGAGATTGTTAAATTTAACACCTTCAATATTTAATAACTATTTTTTAAACATAATTAATAAATTTGAATAAAATATTTATTAAATAAATATTAATTATTACTTATACATTTGAAAACAAAAATTATAACGTTTATTAATATTATAAAATTAAGGAGGCAGAAAGGAGCGACAACCTCTAAAAGAAAAATATATTAATTATAAAACCAAAAATTATATTTTTCAAAAATTTTTAAGTTTTTCTATTCTTGAAATTATATTATATTTATCATTTTCACTTTTAAATTAGTCAAAATGACTATAATACCTCATTATGTTATGTATAAATATATTTTGTATATATAATGAATATGTTCATTATGTTTCTAATATAATAATATTTTTAATTACAGTAATTTTATTGCAATTTCTTTTGAATAAAATTAACCTCACAAAATAGGGCAATTTTAAGAAAAACTGACGAGGCCCTGACCAGTTTTTCACTAAGTAGGGCATTGGTCGGGAACAGCGTCACACACTAGTCGGGAACTGGTCAGTTTCTCTACCCAAAGCCACGCCAGAGATCGGGAAAACTGTCCAGTACCCTAAAATAAATAAAAAATAAAAAAAATAAATAAAAAAAAAATAAATAAATAAAAAAAAAAAATAAATAAATAAATAAATAAATAAAAAAAAAAAAAAAAAAATTAATAAAAAAATAATTAATTAATTAATTAATATATATTATCTCTTTGAAATATTTCATTTTATTTTATTAATGCAAACTATACTCTGATTTAATTTCCTCTCTCCCTTAAAATAACTTAAAACAAGCTGATGTCTTATAACTTGAATTCCTGAGTATGCTCAATTCAAGAAAATAATTTTTATTATTAGAAAATATGATTTTAGAACAATAGGTTTAAAGTTGTATGGATTCGAAACAGTTTTATAAAAGCGACACTCAAATCCCGGTCAACAATGCCTAAAGTTGAATCTAAAAAAGATTCTCGATGTATTGATAAGATTATATAATATTGAGGAAGAGTGGTGTATTCCAATCTTCTCAAAAGCAAATAATTATATACATAGATACTATGCATAGACCTTTAAAAATGCTTCCGTAATTATTTTCACCATCCTCTCAACTGATTGAGTATGCCAAGGAAAATTTGAAAACTTCTATTCAATTGGTATCTCTTTGTTCTTGATCATGTCTTGAATTTCAGTAACAACTAAATAGTTTAGAAGGGGTGCGGGGAAGTGAATTTCGCACGAAGACCAGTCAATTATTTCAAAATAAATAGATCCCATCGTTTGTCCACGATCGGACAAGGCTTAAAAATTGTTAATTTAGTGCTAGTTTCTTACAAAAAGTTTTGAAAAAAAATTGATCAATACATACATTGTTAAAAATGAAATTTTATTTAAAAAATTTTAAAATCTTATCGTAAATTATTTAAAATATTTTTAAAAATATTTTTATTAAAAACTACGCGTGAAAACAAAACTTTTCATTATAAAAACGTCCAATTTGATCAATTTTTGACCGAGTTATAAGCATTTAAAACAAAAATTTACGTAAAAAATGTCATTTTTCAAAAATCTGTAACTCCTGAACCGCTTTATGAAAAAATTTGAAAAAAATCAAGGTAGCTCATTTCAAAGAGTACTAAAAGAAAAAAATGTTTAAAAAAATTTGAGATGCAAAGGCAAAATAATTTCCGATTTGGCGTGGAATGCCCCATATATATACATATACCGAAAAAAAATTTCATGACGGGAACGAGCAATTTTGGAAATATAATTAAAATAAAGAACGACATAACCAACGTTGTGAATTAAGCTTCACTACATTAGCCGAATGTTTAGCCAATACAGTGAAAGTGAGCTTGAGTTGAGTGCAATTTATTAGCCATATTGGAAATATATGGAAACTTACCGCTCTTACCAAGAAATATTTCTGACAGCATAAATATTAACTTTTGTGTTTTTTCGCAGTGTTAAAACCGTATTAATTTCAATAATTTACTTTCAAATGGTTGTAATTTGAAACATACGATTGAAAAAAATTAAAAATGCGCTTTTAATTTTACTTTTCACACAATTTTAATTGTATCTGTCATTCTAGAGTTAGGTTATTGTCTTTTAAGTAAAATTGAATATCGCGATTCTGGCGATAATGCCAATATCGCTGGCTCGTTTTTGACGAAATGTTTAGCTGATATGGCGAAAAATTTCTCAAATTCAGTTGTATTTTTTTTCCATGTACATACTAAATTTCACTTCTGCGCATGTGCAAATTCCGTAGTTGACTACTGCGCAAGTGTGCTTCCTAAATAGCACTTCTGCACATGTGATACTATGTTTATTACAATAAATTATGAAAAAGTATCATTCAAAAGATGAACTTTCCTAAATTCTGGTACCATAACCTTTTTTTTACAAAAACACAACAATTTAGTTAATTACATAACTTAATTATATGTCTGGAGTTTTTTTTAATTAAGCGGATTGTCTTGTTATTTAGCATGTATGAATCATGTCAAGAGAATTTTTTGATTATCAGAAAACGATCATTAGCCTGCTTCTTTTCCCATCAGTATTTCGTTAATGTTAATTAATTTTGTTCATTTATTTTCACGTGATTGCCGTAGTTCTCGTGCCTGAATATGCATTAAATATTCATATCCGCATAAGTAGACAGTAAGGACGATTATATTCACTTGCATTATTCACACTTCCTCTCGTGACGTGCTTCGAAATCAGTGTACGAAATAATTTACTCCTTAATCTTTTTACTATTTTCAATAATACTGTGGATTGAACAAGATAATATTTTTAGAAAATTTACATCATTATTAAATAAAGTACTTGCGATGTAAGTATCGGTTGCGATTGTGTATATAGACCTTCCCCTGTTACTAAGTTTATTGCAGAGATGTGCGAATAGTTCGAATTCGAATTGAAAAGGTTTGAATTCTAAGATTTCGAATCAACTGTAGTTCAAAATTTATTCGAAATAAATTCAAATTCGAATCACCTTTAAATTCTAGTCGTTACAAAAATTTATTATTAGATTCGATTTTAAACCTGAAATCTCTGATTCGCACATATCTAGCCCGTGTGAAAATAGTTTCGAAAAATGAAGAGTTGGATGATAAAAAGAAATATATAATTTTAAGAATTTAGTTTGTAAGCTATTGTATTTGAATACATTTGAAAAATGCACTAAATGCGGTATTTAAAACTTCCCCAAACTATTTCTTCAACGCAAGAACAATACATTTATTTTCTACGTAATAATTAATTTCATTGTGATATGGACAAATGATTTACCATTTCTTTGTAATAATTATAAAATTATTGTTATAGTGCCTGTGTAAAATGAAAAAGATGCAGACGGAACAACTGCGGCCAGAACAACTGGTCGGCCTGGTAGCTCGATCAGCTGAAGGAACAGCAGCAAAGGGAATGCCCATCAAGGGCAACGAAGACCTGTGGGTGGAAATTCAGGCCAACACATTTAGAAATTGGGTAAATGAGCATTTGAAACAAGCTGGTGATGCTGGAGGAGGACCTGTCTTAGATCTCGCTGAGGATTTCCGAGATGGCACACGATTGTGTGCTTTAGTTGAAGTCCTGACCAAGAGACGCCTTCCTCGTTGGAATCCAAGACCCGCCAATCAACACCATCATTTAGAAAATGTTTCCACTGCACTGCAAGCCGTCGAGACTGATGGTGTCAAACTCGTCAACATTGGTAAGTTGACGCAGTGAGCGGCTCAAGGCTTGTCACTGCTACCTGACTGGTAGTATCCCTTCCAAGTCTCGCGTTCGTCCCCTTATTGCAGCCGGCCCTTCAATTGTAAAAGCAAAAATCATTCTGGTAACAAAATATTTGTACCATCACCATTCTATAACACATTTCATTCGTAGAAAAGAAGTTGAAATTTGCAGGGTAGTGTAATCGAAAAAGGTTGAATTGAGACTTTGCCCTTTACTTTTATAATACGGAATAGGATAGGTTTGTGAACTCTCTAAAATTTGAATTAGCGAAAAGTCGCTGATTCACAGCCCAGAGTATGCAGCTGATTCAAACAGCGTATATGCGCTGGAAAATCAGCGCATGTAATACACACTGATTGAATCATCTGCATACTTTGGGCTGTGAATCAGCGACTTTTCGCTGTTTCAAATTGAGAGAGATGACTCGGTTATTTATTCTTGTAACAGAATCAATCTCATTGAAGAATCTAAAAATGTGTGGAATTAAATTTTGTATTCCAAGACATTTACGTAGTTAGTCTTTGTATAATTGAAAAAGGTTGACTTGAATCCAAATCAAGTTTGGATTGATGTTTATTTTAATCTTTGAAAACCAAAAGTAATCAAGTCTGGGACTTGAATTCTGCTTTTGCATTAAAAATGAATACCATGTTGACTGCCGCGTTCTGAATCAGAAAGAATCAAATTATTTGTTTATTAACAGAGAAAATATTTTTGAAATCTCACAAGTTGGTTGTGTTGGTAAATAACTCCATATTTTAATAGTTTTTAAGTGTCTTATATATATATATATATATATATGTATAGTTAAGAGAGTAAAGAGTCTATACGCGAGGACGTAATTACTCTGATAAACGTGACGCAAGGAGGGTACATCAGAATTTAAAGCTAATGAGCAATTATTTAAAATTATAAACCACCTTTGTTATTTCACAAAGTTTGTTGATATCTTAAATCGCTTTCCCAGAACGAAGTAATAATTAGTCTCCACATATTGAGTCTTTGCACTTCTTTAACTGTAATGACTCCAAGTTTTATTTTTGTTTTATTTTTTATTACTAAAAATATTATCAATTTTTCTTACAAATTCTATATTCTTAGAAAATCTCATTTTCTGTTTTATTGTCAAGTACTAGTTGCAATAGTTACCTATAATTATTTGTGAAAACATAAAAATAATTATTATAAAAAAATTAATTATTCATAATGAAGAACAGTATTAATATATGAATAATAAGTAGTTTAAAATATGTTTTATCATATTCAAGAAAAATTTGCTGTAAATTTTATGTCTACTAACTAAAAAAGTAATAAAATAAACGTCGAATAAATTGAAAATAAACGAACTGGAAATTTTATAGGTATGTAATACATAATGAATATATATAAAAAGAGTTAATCTCGACCTTGTTAGAAAAGTTTCTTGATTTAGTGTCAATGTCTATTTCTCATTTGGTTCTCCGTTAAAATTAATTATATTCTCACTTCGTGTTTACCTTCAATTAACTTCATTATTATTAGGCTGTAAAAATCTTCGCTTAGAATGTTATAAAATATTTTAACATAATAATTAATTCACTTAATTTACTTTTTCGTTCAATTAAAATTTACAATTACTTATGTACTATTGACCATTTTCGTATTCAAATCACTTTTTAGTGTTTAGGTTTCATTGATCGCTATCCAAGTAGAAATCTAATACTGGCATAGTACTGATCCAGTACCGACTGCCAGTATACTCCCAGGACTAATCGGCTTCCGAGAGTTTAAATAAAACTCTTAAAAGGATTCCTTCAACTCCTTGACATGGAGCAAATAAGTTTTTGAGGTCGTTGAATACACATTCGATTGAAGATTTACAAAATTCTAAATGGCGTTTTCAATATGGCAACTTAGTATGACGGAAAATTCTAAAATTGACTCGTTTCAGTCAAAATACGTTACCCGGAGGTAACGCGTTCGGAGCTCTGAATCAAAAGATATCAGATTTTAAAAATTCAAAATGGAGACCAAAATTTTTTTGAATTAACGAGATTTGCTTGAAACTTATTGGTCGGGCGTTTTATAGTTAATAAATTTTCAAATAATTGAAGATTTTATCAAATTTAAAGTTTTTAAAAATAAAACGTTTTGAAGAAAAATGTGAATAATTCTAAAAAAATAATTTTAATATTTTAGAAAAAGTTAAATTTAAAGTAATTTATTAGGACAGGGAAAAAGGTTAAAACAAATTCTGTTGATCAGAGAAAAGTATAAGGACAATCAAATAAACGACTTTTTTGTACTTTGAATCTACTATAAAATGCACAAACTTTTTTGAGCCTTAAAGTCGATCAGAGGCGATCTAATTTTCTATTGTGTTCCGAGTAAAATCACATGTATACAGTAATAGACTGTGAAAAAAGGTGATAATCTTTTTATTAAATAATATATATCATCGAGACATTGATTTATCAAATAATGAGGGTATTTCTTTCTAGTTGGAGGAAGAAAAATGAAAAAGATTCCTTTAAAATTGCTCCCTTTCTCTTCGGAAAAAATACTTCCGGTGTACGGCAGTATTTTTGCGAGCGACTCTTGCGCACTGGCTTCTCTATAATTCATACACGGAAAAAATAAGTTCAGCAGATTTTACGAAACTAATTTCGCACTAGCGGATATTTAAGATTCCTTGACGAAGTTTTTCAAAAACCCAGAAACTTTCACTACTTTAAGCAGAACAATTGTCGAGAAACTGCAACCAGTGTTGTAATTTATAAAACAAGCTTGAATGTAGAAATGTTTCGTATTTTCTGGTGAACATTTTATCAGAAAATGGTAAAAATGTTTCGTGCAATCTAAAAACGCGTGGTTTGAGTTTCCACTTCGCTGTCTATCGTGAATTCTCGAACACAAAGTTTCGTAAAATTCTATACGGGGTGTACCAAAAGTCGCGTTATACATAGATATGTTGAAGCTTGTCTCGTCGCGTCGGTATTAACTTGTCTGCTGTATATAGAGATAATATGTGGAAGGAAAAAGAGAACTGCTTTACCTGCCGGTAACATTTGGATAATTGTTTTCTTTTACGTTTTCACATTTCATTGTTCCAAATTCGTAACATTTTTTATGTGCTTTTGTAATCCAAACTTTTAATTATTATTAATTTCTTTTAATTTACATTCCAATAAATTTTATAGTTTATCATAATATTTACCGATGACAATATATATATTAATTTCTCAAGTTTTAACTGTTATTACTTCAAATTTTAGACAATTTAATATAAACATTTTTTGAGTTTGAATTTAATTTTGAAAATTTTTTGTCAATTTATTAATAATTTAAAATTAAGAATAAAATTATTTTCTAAAAATTGAAAAATTTTATAGAGATTTTATAACTAATTATAATCAAAAAATGTTATTTTAAAAACCATAAAATATTTTGTATAACTTTTAAAAAAATGATTTTTTTAAAAATTAATATTCAGTATATTGACATTTCTCACAAGCGCAGTTTTAATCTCCTTAGTTAGTATATAAAGAAACTCAATTCTTTCATCTACAAGTGCGAGTTATATTGTATGTGCGTTGCGTCAGAATTCGTTTATATGTATGCGTATTTCCGTTAAGTTAGTGTCAGAATAAAATAAGCCAATCCAAGCGAACCATTTCGTTGTAGAGTGCAGTCACATGTGTCGAACCAATCATCTATCTCCTATAGAAGACGAGAAAAAATGGTCTTGAGAGCTCATTGGTACATTAAGAAATTCTTTTTTCTGCTTTATTCGTTTTTTTCTCCGTGAATATTTTTTTCCGTGGCGCATGCGCTTCAGGCTAAACATTTTACAAAACTCTTGAATTAGAACGTCCAACCGATCATTTGTGAATTCCATAGAATTTTTTTTGAGTTTTCGAGAAACGCAGTCATCATATATTACTATTGATTCTGTTTTATCTTATACTAAACTCCTCTCCGTATCCGCTATTCCAAAATTAGTTTCGTAAAATGTACTAAATTAATTTTTTCCGTGTAGTAATTTTTCTTTTCCAAAGGTTTTTTTAGCAACAGTCACTACTCTTTGGTGACAGAGATTTTTATCACCTACACGAAAGAATTAAATTGGCACAGTAACTGTAAATATGTGATAATAGCTTTCAGCGGTCTGTGGGCGCAGGTACACAAGAAAGGCAACGACCTCGAAAGTCGTCGATTTGCAAAAGCGTGATGTAAGACTTGCAGTCATAAAAAAAAATTACGACGATCCCCCATAAATCTTGCATACTTGCATCCTCACCTAGCATCATATTTCATTTCCTCCTGCGCGACAATACCCCTGCCGGCCATTGTCCACTCAATGCTGCATTGTAAAAACAGGGAGTTGGGATTTCTTCATTCAGTCAAGTTGCAGACAAAAATATTCTGTAAATTTTTGCTTAATTTTGCCTTCTATTCCCTCTACAGCTTCAATTTGGGGTACAAACACAACTTGTCCAAGTACATTGGACTTTTAATGGAATCCGTTTTACAAGAAAATTGACTGCGACCCAAAACTTGGACCCACACACAGCATAGACAATTTCCCGAAACTAATTGACAGAACCTCGCCCAGCGAGGTTAGAGAGATATAATTGAGTGGCGAAGCTCATTCGAAAGAATGTGTGGAAATATTGAATATCAAACTAGAGCGAAAATTATATATCGGACATACCTACCAACACTTGCCATGTTCAGGCAATATTTTATGAATATTGCATGTAATATTAGCCTAATTACTAAAATTTCGTCTGCTAATTATACAAACTTTTAAACCAATATTGCCTCTGAACACGTCAAGTGTCAATATTTGCAGTGTAATTTTCGCTCAAGTTTGATAATTAATATTTCCTCACATGCCGACATTTAAATAACTACACAGTCTTCCATGAGCTTCACCACTCAATATCTCTATAACCTCGCTGGGTGAGGTCCTGTCAAGTTTCGGGAAATTCTCGGTGATGTGTGGGAATGTATTTTCTGCTAGGTCCTTTCTCCTGGAGCTGTACTAAGATAAGAATTTATTGTAACGATTATATATTTGGTCATGGAATTAAAAAAAAAAACAATGGTCTGGAAAATCTGGAAAAGTGATAAAATTTAAAAAGTTTGGAACCATAGCAATCTCCTTTAATTTCAATTATTATTAATTTCAATCCTTATTTCAAAACATAAGTGACACATTAGAGGAAAAGAATTAACTCTATATTTTTCACTCTATGCATTTGCTATACCAAATAAGGTGGTTATTAAATTTATTGTAATATTTGGAAAAAAATTCTTATTGTCCGAGACCTAAGAATTCTGCTTTTTGTCCTGAGAAACGGAAATTAAACAAATATTTGCATGTTCGATGACAAGTTTTATTTGACGACATTCATTCCGAGAATTTCAAGTTTTTCCTCTGCTGTTATTCAATCTGGAAATTGTAACAACTTTCCTCTAAATGGTCAGATAATATCAGACTGACATTGCCGAACTGCTACTGCTAGAAATTAAAAGTTTAAAAATTCTCCATACTTCTAAAAAATAGCTCCGCTTAGAAATATGGAAAAGAATTCAGTTTTCGAATCAATTGGGTCTATTTGCATTTTTATGATACTAAAGTAGAATCAACCGATTATGCAACATTTTTACATAATAAGTTGCATGAATATTTTTCCCTCTCCGTTCACTATTTTCTTTTTAAGGAAAAATGAAGACGTCGATTGAAAAATTTGAAATTAATTAAAAAATTTAGTGACCTATATATACAAGTCTGAAATGTAATATGAGAATTGGGTCAAGCAATGTTTGTATATAACTTATTCTTTGATTTTTCAGGTAATGTGGACATTGTGAATGGCAATTTGAAGTTAATTCTGGGCTTAATATGGTCCCTCATTGTCAGATACCAAATTGGCAAGTCCAAGTTCCCGCCAAGGAAACTGATGCTTGCATGGCTCAAGGTTAGTATTATAACTGGGGAAACATTTATGACTCGAGACTTTTACATCCCAGCACATACACACACACACACACACACACACACGTTAGGTGAATCAGTTTCTCATAGTAAATAACGTAGGCACATTATTTACACACATGGGCATTATACACGTCCTTATTATTTATGATTAGTCCCCATAAGAAATTATGAACCTACTCACATCATCTTACTCAAAGATTCACAATTTTCTGAAGAAATATGTACGCCTTCTTGAAATTTTTAGAAATTCCACCATATAGGTATTATTTCTGTACATGTTTCACCTTATTATAATTATCAGTTTGCCTCATTTTAAACTGCTATCAATGTCATGGAATGGAAAAAGGTGAAATTTTTTCAAGTATGTATGTCAAGAAACTATAGGAAATTTATTCAATTAGTTCGAAAAGTCCAATTTCTTTGGCACAAATTCAAGTTTATGATTGTTTAAACAAAAAACATTGTGCGGATCTCATATTCATTTCAACCCAAAAGTGTTTAAGCCAAAGTTATTTTGGAGAGGAACAATAGTTAATTATTTTTGAATAATATTGTTTATAACAATTTAAATAAATTATTTTTTACTTTATTATTTGTGTGGAGATTATATTAGATTAATTTGAAGTGATTTAGATTGTATGCATTGTCTTCTTGCTTTTTTTCAAGCTTTAAGATGGTAGAAAGCTTTTTAAAAAAAATAATTTCCTGGTTTAATTTGCATTTAAAAATTTTGAGTGTTAATTTTTACAAATACGTAATCTTCTATTTTATTGAAAGTTGCCTCATCGAAAGAAGGATTAGATTCTCTAATTTCTACCATCCAAAGATGATAGCTTTGAGCTTTTTAGTGGATTCAGAGAAAATAATGAAATATAAATTCGTTTTTTTTACTGATTTTATATTTTTCTCTGAATCCAGTAAAGAGCCCAAAATAATAATTAAGTCTACTTTAATTTGAACGTAAACACAGGTACAAGCTCGAAAGTTAATAGTGAATAATATTGTCAAATAAAGTTTATTGATTTTACTTGTATGAAAATTATTTTCTACTTTCTTGAATTTAGCTCAGAATAAGACATTGCCTTTAAGAAAGTGAAGCTTTCAAGAATATTTAATTGTTAATTTTTTTAGGCCGTTCTGCCAGAGTGCAGAGTGAACAACTTTACGACAGATTGGAATTCTGGTGTTTACTTGAGTGCATTGTTGGATTATTGCAAACCTGGCCTATTTCCTCATTGGCGGCAACTTGACCCTAATGATAGGTCTGTTTGTAATTGATAACATCATACAAATTTAAATAATTTTAATGCTAAATAGGTGATCAGAATTGTTTTTTCAAAATGCAAAAGTCTTTATTCTTTTTACCTTTTATTAAGAGCGTAATTATGTTTTATTTATACTTAATTACTCTGGAAAATTGTAGGATTTATTTTCCCTTCAAAATTTCTAGTGTTTACAACTGTCGGAAGGCGATGGAAATAGCGAAACAAGAATTTGACATTCCAGTTGTACTCGAGCCAGAATATTTGGCTTCTCCTTATTTAGATGAATTATCAGGAATGACATATCTTTCGTATTTTATGAAAGAGGGATCACCAGGTTTTCATGCAACAATACGTTGGGTGAATTCGCAGCTTTCTCATGCTCCAGTGCGTAATTTCACAGTAAGTAACTCATTTCATTGATTTCTTCAACTGTCACAAAATATAATTTTGTATTATTAAGACAAAAGACTATGACCATAACTACTGCACCCACTCGGTTGCGCACTTTTCTTTTTCATTGTATCGCTTTCTTTCACAGACTGATTGGAATGACGGCAGAGCCTTGTGCGGTATCGTTAGAAATTTAGGAGGTCCTGCTCCTCCTTACGACAGAATTGATACTGCTCCTGCTGCGTGGGAACACAATTTACAACTAGGTAAATACATTTTATAAATCTAACCAATTTATAATATTGATTCGTATGAACTCGGCATTATTTTAACATGGTAGTTTGAAAAGTTGTTTTGAAAGGAAGTGTTTTTCGTTACCTAAAGTATACAATGTAACAAATACATAAATTAATATTAATTCAAATTGAAGTAACTGATCATGTAAGTAAAAAAGATTTCCAAATACAACCATACCAAGTCTTTAAACATTAAATGCCAGTTAGATGAAGGAAGCTATACAGGGATGAACAGAGTTTCATAGATTAACAGCAGTTACCATACAAAATGAATACAGATATTCTTTAGACTTGTAAATGCCCAAAGTACAACTTATTATTATACACTTCATTTCTCTTAATCCTCTCTAAAAACAACACCGAAAAACGATTTACTTAAATGCAGTCGCACACTCTTACGGAATTTAAGTTGTGATGTGAGTCATTACATTCTGCATGAAAGTCATTTTTAAGTCAAAAACCTTAAAATAAGTTCCGTGCAGTGACTGAAACTGGGTCGGGTACGAGAAACCATGGGCCTCCTAACCTCAAAATGTAAAATAAGTTAATGTAAATTATAACAGGAGATATTAAAAGAGAGCACTAAAAGAGAATATTTTACTTTACATACATGATTATGGTCTTATGGTGCCCGCTTATAGGTCCTTCTTTATACCTGCAGGTAAAAAAATTGGTCAAATTTGACATATATTTTGACGTATCATCCACGGAGAGAAATAGAAAATCAATGATAATTAAACTTATTATGAGGAATGTAAATTTAACACTCCTCAGGTTGAGATCTAAACAGAAGAGTGTCAACTTTTTCAAGTTTGACACTCCTACTCATAGTAAATTTGATTATTCTTTTTTCTCAGTGTCAAAGGCATTATTGGGCCCCTTTTTACCTGCAGCTTTAAAAATAGGTCAAATCTGACATAAATTTTGACGTAATGTAAGGGCCATTATTTAGCTGTTTATGACCTGTATAAGTAAAAGAAAATGTCAAATTACCTGAAGATTTCGACGTAATGTAATAGACGCTTGTGGGCCTAATTTTTAACCGTAGGTCAAAACTGCCCTTAAAATTGATCTATATTGTGAGGGAACAGGAGGTCAGAGGAAATTGTTTGTCAATTTTTAACACTTAGGTCAAAACCCGTAGGTCAAAAAATAGGTAAAATTAAACATGGATTTTGACGTAATGTAGGGTCCCACATGGGGACCACTTTTAACCTATAAGTCAAATTAAACATCGATTTTGACGTAATGTAAGAGCCCACATGGAGACCACTTTTTAACCTGTAGGTTAAAAATTAGGTCAAATTAGACATAGACTTTGACGTAATGTGAGGCCGTTATTGGGCCTCTTTTTGACCTATAGGTCAAAAAAATAGGTCAATTTTGACATAAGTTTTGACGGCCCCTTTGGCCCTTACAGAATCTTGAAACAGCGGCGGCGGCGATATATTTTTGTAATATATAGGTAGATATATATATATATCACTATTAATGAATCAGATATGATTTCATAACGTTTCAAGGCTAAAATTAGAACATTATTAGACTCAATAAATTGAATCAACTGATAATGAGCCACTTTCTCAAAAGCCTTTAACAAATAATAGATAACGCTCAATAGTCCTCAGGCTGTTCTGGAACTTTTACTTTAGACATCGGCTTAATAACAATCCTCTGCCATTCATCAAGAAAGTCTTCCATAAGTAATCTACATTGAATGTTCCGTACTTTTCTCTTATTAGGTCAATTATTAAATTATGTTCTTCCCAGTAAAAAAAAAATCAGTCATTGTGAAGCAGGCGCAACGCGCCTACATCATAGGGTTTCGTGTCCTAAAATGACAAAAAAATAAATAAATAATAATTTATTTAGGAATTTTTGTTGTACTTAAGATTGGTTGCTATGGCAACCATTACCATATCAACGGTTGCCACGGCAACGGTTGTTATGGCAACCGTTAACATAGCAACGGTTACCATGGCAACGGTTGTTATGTTGTCTTAAGACTTAAGACTTAAAACTTAAGACGTAAGAACTACGGATGGACACCGAAGTCTCGCAATAAGGGTTTTGGCCCTTGGCCACGAATCCCTAAAAAACAGGGAATATGGACTTTTGTTAAAATGTGAAAAGACTGAAATTTGACAGATAGATTAAACGTCAGTTTGAAAAATTTAGGAGGACAGGATTGACGGTAAGAAACGCAGAATTTGCCGTACCCGCCGTAACTCCCCAATACGGTTTTCACGCGAAAACTTATTGGCATTAAGTCACCTGCAGTTCTGTTTGCTTACGGACAATTCTTTTTTTCCACTGGATTTGGATTCTTTTGTTTGTAAATTATCCTGTGGACCGCCGGGGTTAGACGAATTTTCATTCTAAAATTATGTTTTTGTTTCTATCCTATAAAAAGTTGTAATGCTTTCTGTGTGGTTTAAAAAAAAATTACACAGGCCGACAAGATTTACTTTCCAAGAATCAGATAATACTTTTCCGAAGGTTTTCGACGTGCTGAATCCGAATTCGGCCTTAAAATAGACCCATCACGTCAGGTTTTCGAGATATTTTAACCTAAAAGTGCAAAAAACCTGTTTTTAGTCATATTTGATGTCATGTAACATCAAGAGATAATTTTTTCATTTAAAAAGTCAATATTGCGTCTAAAAGTGCTACTCTTCCCCTTTAATATCCATTTTGAAAATTTAAAAAATCTTCATTTGTCTCTGAGTAATCGTTCATTGAATTTTTTGAGTTTGGCGAATTCTTCGAAAACTAAGTAGAAACAGACAAAACTTCGATAATAAAGCAGATTTTAACTACAAACATCTAAATTTTAAATAGTTCTGAGGATTGTCGATATAACTGAATACGAATTCGATATTAGATTCACAAAATTCAAAATGGCGTATACAATATGGCAGACGATTTATTTCAAATTGATTGTATTTTCCTCAAATATGCCATTTTGAATTCTGTTAATCTGATATCGAATTTGTATTCAGTTATATCGAAAATCCTTAGAACTATTTAAAATTTAGATGTTTGTAGTTAAAATCTGCTTTATTATCGAAGTTTTGTGTTTCTACTTACACGGAAAAAATAAGTTCAGCAGATTTTACGAAACTAATTTCGCACTAGCGGATATTTAAGATTCCTTGACGAAGTTTTTCAAAAACCCAGAAACTTTCACTACTTTAAGCAGAACAATTGTCGAGAAACTGCAACCAGTGTTGTAATTTATAAAACAAGCTTGAATGTAGAAATGTTTCGTATTTTCTGGTGAACATTTTATCAGAAAATGGTAAAAATGTTTCGTGCAATCTAAAAACGCGTGGTTTGAGTTTCCACTTCGCTGTCTATCGTGAATTCTCGAACACAAAGTTTCGTAAAATTCTATACGGGGTGTACCAAAAGTCGCGTTATAAATAGATATGTTGAAGCTTGTCTCGTCGCGTCGGTATTAACTTGTCTGCTGTATATAGAGATAATATGTGGAAGGAAAAAGAGAACTGCTTTACCTGCCGGTAACATTTGGATAATTGCTTTCTTTTACGTATTTCACATTTCATTGTTCCAAATTCGTAACATTTTTTATGTGCTTTTGTAATCCAAACTTTTAATTATTATTAATTTCTTTTAATTTACATTCCAATAAATTTTATAGTTTATCATAATATTTACCGATGACAATATATATATTAATTTCTCAAGTTTTAACTGTTATTACTTCAAATTTTAGACAATTTAATATAAACATTTTTTGAGTTTGAATTTAATTTTGAAAATTTTTTTGTCAATTTATTTATAATTTAAAATTAAGAATAAAATTATTTTCTAAAAATTGAAAAATTTTATAGAGATTTTATAACTAATTATAATCAAAAAATGTTATTTTAAAAACCATAAAATATTTTGTATAACTTTTAAAAAAATGATTTTTTTAAAAATGAATATTCAGTATATTGACATTTCTCACAAGCGCAGTTTTAATCTCCTCAGTTAGTATATAAAGAAACTCAATTCTTTCATCTACAAGTGCGAGTTATATTGTATGTGCGTTGCGTCAGAATTCGTTTATATGTATGCGTATTTCCGTTAAGTTAGTGTCAGAATAAAATAAGCCAATCCAAGCGAACCATTTCGTTGTAGAGTGCAGTCACATGTGTCGAACCAATCATCTATCTCCTATAGAAGACGAGAAAAAATGGTCTTGAGAGCTCATTGGTACATTAAGAAATTCTTTTTTCTGCTTTATTCGTTTTTTTCTCCGTGAATATTTTTTTCCGTGGCGCATGCGCTTCTGGCTAAACATTTTACAAAACTCTTGAATTAGAACGTCCAACCGATCATTTGTAAATTCCATAGAATTTTTTTTGAGTTTTCGAGAAACGCAGTCATCATATATTACTATTGATTCTGTTTTATCTTATACTAAACTCCTCTCCGTATCCGCTATTCCAAAATTAGTTTCGTAAAATGTACTAAATTAATTTTTTCCGTGTAGTTTTCGAAGAATTCGCCAAACTCAAAAAATTCAATGAACGCGATTACTCAGAGACAAATGAAGATTTTTAAAATTTTCAAACTGGATATTAAAGGAGAAGAGTAGCACTTTTAGACGCAATATTGACTTTTTAAATAAAAAATTATCACTTGATGTTACATGACATCAAATATAACTAAAAACAGGTTTTTTGCACTTTTAGGTTAAAATATCTCGAAAAGCTGACGTGATGGGTCTATTTTGAGGCCAGATTCGGATTCAGCACGTCGAAATCCTTCGGAAAAGTATTGTCTGATTCTTGGAAAGTAAATTAAATCAAATTTTGTTGGCCTGTGTTATTATCGAGACGCGTCTATAAAGTGGTAAAAGATTGTGTGCCAACATTTTTCTGGTCTTTTTCTGTGTCTAGTTCATAACGTCAGCTTGTGGTGGAAAACTGTTTAAGAATTCGTTCTAAATTGAAGACAGTTTATTTGAATGGAAATAATGAAATGAAATGTGTTTTTTGAATATGAAAACACTGAATCAATGTGAAATCGTTCTGTTTTATTGTATAGGTATCGACAGTGGGAAGAAGCTGGGGGTGGAACCCATCTTGAAAGCGAAAGACTTGGCCGATCAGAATGTAGAACATTTGGGAGTAATGGCTTATGCGGCGTACTTTCAGTGGGTGAAGCCTCGCCCTCAAGCGAGTGAGCAAATTGCTGTGCACGTAGACAGTACATCCGCCAGAGTGCAACAGCCGGTTGGTCGACTTTTATTGCTTAATGACTGCTATTAAAAATTTCTCACACTCTATTAAAAATACTTAATGGCCCTAGAAAAATATCTAAATTATATACCTGAATTTACTTCCTATTTATGAATATTGGAATTCCAGTTCACATGATTTTAATTACGAGATGAATGAAAATTAAATGCAAACTTGGCATTACCTTCGACAAAATATTCATCTTTCAAAAGAAATGTGTGAAAAATTTTACCCACAGAAAGAAATTGTATCACAATTTTTGCAAAAGCAATTCAAAACATTTTTTTTAGTACTTTGAAAACTTTTTTTGTGTCACAATTATTTTTTTTATTGAAACCGTACTCTAAATAGAGAAAACATTTTAAAAATTATAGTTTTTTCAAATTGCAGTTTATTTTTTATAATAAAAGAGATTTAATAAATAAATTATCAACTTTTTTTAGGCGCATTTCAAATTAGAAATGCTAGCAAAAGAAGTTAATCCACGAGAGGTTCGTGCCGAAATTGTAAGTCCCAGTGGAAGATCAGAATGCCGATTAATTTGGAATGGAACCCACGGGAAAGGAACCTTTATTCCCACAGAAGTTGGAATGCATAAGGTTTGAAATTTATAAAACAAAATAAATAAATAAATAAATAAATAATTAGAGCCACCCTCTATTCGAAATTCGTCCGAAGGCGGTTACTTTTAAATAGCTCTACCGAAACCGAAAATGACCATTAAAAAATTGCATACCTTATGGGGAAAGGATTGAAAAACTATTCCCAAGTCATAAATGTAATTAATACCTGAAAATTTAATATTATAGATACAAATAAAGTAAATTTTACACACTCAGCATGTGAAGTTTCTTTAAAGTAATATTAACAGAAATAACAAAACACGACTGGCAAAAAAAATCACCTTCTCAGAATAAAAATGGCACTTCAAACATTGCCGAACAAATTAAAGTATAAAATAATGCTACATAAACGTTTTCAGCGACATTACTCATCACAAACTCTCTCAGATGAAAGGACAAATGCAAAATTAAGATTAAAAAAATCAAGTTTTAAAAACAGCAATATGACATTGTGCCTATATATGAACAAGAAAAGGACTAAATCAAATCTCTAAAATTTATTTTACAATCTTTATCAAAATTATTGTTTATAAAATAATTATTTCATGTAAAATAATTGTTAAATTCTTTTGCAGAGTACAATGATTGAATTAGCTTAAAAAACTTATCACTCAGATGTTTTTGGTATCTCTGATAAATCTGATGTTAGTTTTTCTCAACTCAAAATGGCAGATCCAATATGGAGGACGAATTTTGAAAAATCGATTGAATTCACTTGAAAGTTGACACTCGGGGGTTTTTGAAGTTGCTCATGTTGAATCTGGAGTCGAATTTACATAAATAAAAATGGCTAATGCAATATAACGAACGATTTTTTAGAACTAGATTGAATTACTTTGCAAATTATTACTGATCTTTGATAAGGGGTCGAAATTGAAATTTAAAATAGCTCAATGTCGTACATTCTTTAATTAGGAATCGTATTGCTTAGAATTTATTACATATAAAGCTATAAATACTAATTTTTAATGCTTAATGGGGGTAAGGTCTTAAAATTTTTTTATTGCATTTTTTAAAGAATTTTTTAAGTGAATGCATAATATCTCCAAATTTGTTTGTTTTTAAATTTGTAATATTTTCCGATACACCATTTGAAAGAGTGATTCCTAAGCCATAAGAAATGTCCATTGCCAAATTTTTTATTTGCGTTTAAACCTATAAAAATAATGCCAAACGTCAAGTATTGTGCATTTGAGAAAAAAAATTCTTAAAAATATGCTTTTTTTCACCGAATAGACCTTACCCCTCCCCCCTTTATAGAATTAAATTGGTAGCATCAGATTAAATATATCAAAATGATATATAAAATGCAAATTACACATTTCATAGTATGTACTATGAACCATTTCACAGAATTTTCAAATATTTCGACCGCCATAATGAATTTTGAAAAACTTTCACAAAATTTATTCTCAGTGACCCAAGAATCTCTAGATTAATACAATTTAATATATTTCACAGAATTTTTAAATATTTAGTTGGCCATATTGAGTCCACTATTTTGAATTGTGAAAAAGTATCACTTGATTCGTATTTAGTGTTCCAACCCCCACAGCACCTATACTTTGCTAAAAATTTATTAAATATTTACTTGCAATATTCGGCATATTTAACTGAAAAGTTTAGTGAAAATTGTGTAAAGATTTAAATGTCCCAATTAAATGAATGTTTAGCGCGAAACTTTCCTGAACTTAATCGGGACATTTAAATCTTTACACAACTTTCAATAAACATTGCAATTACATATTCCGAACATTGCAAGGAAATATTTAATAAATTTTTAGGAAAGTTTCGGTGCTGTGGGGGAAGAATCCCCGAATATCGAGTTTCAAATTTATTTATTATTTACGTATCAAGAAACTAAACATTGTTTAAATAAGCACCTCTCTCTTACCATCTTATTTATATATTTTATATATATTCTGATAATATTAAATTTCTATACTTTTTCATACCATCCAAGTGAGAAATATATGGGTAGTTTTAAAAACGAGAGAAGGAAACGGAGAAAATTTCGGAAATAGTACTATAAAAGTGATCTTTTCAGAGAGGCCAGTCAAAAATTACAAATTGCAAATTTTACTTCTATTTATAAACAATTTAACCAGGAGATCGAGATCGTGAAAAAGAAATTAACATTAGCTCATTAATTATCAAACTGTTGAGTGATTATTATTCTGTTTAAGTATCTATTAACGTTTTGTAATATTTTTCCAGTTGATGGTCTACAACGACGGAGAGCTTGTAAATGGCTGTCCATATTATTTCAGAGTGTTACCTCCCTTAACCAAAATCAATTCACCTGGCATGGATCCTTGCGCCATTGGGTCCATTGTTGAGGTTCTAGTCAATAGTTACGGTTAGTGACTTGTTATTTTCGTATAATAAGATTTCTAGTTTGGCAAATTGATCAGATTTTGGCGGTGAAATATTTGATACTTGCGTGCCGAATAGTTTGTAATTTGAACGGATTATTTCAGGAACTAGTCATGACGGTATTGACGTAACGGCGTGGTCTCCGACCGAAAGACCTCTTCCATGTCCTGTGAAGGAACACGACGGAGTTCACACTGCGACATTTCAGCCTGACGAAACTGGAGAATGGAGTATTGCCATAACGCATAAAGGAAATCACATTCAAGGAGGACCGTTCACGTGCTTTGTATTCGATCCCCATGGTGTTAAGGTTATTATTAATTCTAATTGCAACAAAGTTTTAATAGGTATCGATCGTCTCGACAACGATTACAATTCATTGGAAATGTTTGTAGATTTCAGACACAGAGGGAGCAATGCCAGGCCAACCATTTTCCTTCATCGTTGACGCAACGGGAACAGGCGGCTTGGGTGACATAATCATAGACATAGTTCACGACAAGCAATCAATTCCTTATCGAATCGAAGACATGGGACACATGCGATCTCGAGTATCGTTTATTCCACGCGATGCTGGGAAATATCGCGTCTACGTTTACTTTAACGGCTCTGACGTTCGTGGTTCTCCATTTTCGCTTCGTGTTGGCACACAGAAAAGAAGGTCAAAAGAGTCCACGACTTTGGATAGAACAAAGATTTCATCCCTCGAAAGAAGAATGAACGGAATTAATGTGTCCTCGACAGAGAGATCAAGTCCTATTCAAAGAACTTACTCCTCATCAATGTACAAATCCCCCAGTCCTACGCAATCGTCCTTCAACAAAACTTCCAGCAGTTTTGAGAATCTGAGTACTTTTCATCATACTTTAGCAAATAATTCTCGATCCACTTACAATCACTCTTCGAGAAGTTTGAATCCTTCGATTGTCCGCGAGACGAGAGAAAAGGAAATTTACTCATCTACGTTCAATAAGAGTTCTCCAAACGTAAGCAGCAATTCTTTGATAAGAAATACTCAGAGTCCGAATTTAATCAAGGAATCGAAAGACATTTATTCCTCGAGTTCGTTGAGTAGATCTCGTTCTCCAGATCCAAATTCTATGGAAGCGACTAGTCCAACAATCATAAAGGAGTCCAAGGACATTTATCAATCAAATTCATTAAGCAGATCAAGATCTCCCAATAAAAGTCCCATGACTTTTGGTAATCCGCAAAGTCCAATTAAGAGAAGTTTCAGTCCAAGAGCAGGAGAAAAAGAAGTTTCGGGTAGAAGAGGATCTGGGGAAAATGGAGTCGTCGACACCAGCAGCAACGTAAAGGGTATAAAAACCTTCAATTCTTTCACCAAATCTAGTTTTTCTCTTTTTTCATCTAAAATGACAATTTTTCACAGTTTCATCAATGTCAACGGGGACATCTCGTCGCGATTCTTGGGATGCCATCGCCAAAACGAAATCACTTCTATCTTACGGCAGTCTTGAATCATTGGCAAATTTAACAAGTAACGGAACTAATGAACACAGCAGCAATTCAAACTACGTCAATAACAATTATCGAAATGGAAACTCTAACGTTCAGCAGAATTCGTCGACAAATTACAATTCAACACAAAAATTCACGACATCTGAATGTGGAACGTCACAAAAATACACCATTGAGAGTCAAAATGGTCGCACTCATGGCATTTTAAAGAACAAAAATAATAACCATTACAAGAGTGTCGACGCTATTGATGCTACACATGAACGATTTTCTCATAACGGAGTTTCGGAATATAGAACAGTTTATGGTAAAAATTCACTTGCTGCTGGAAACGCTTTGGAGATGTTGCCTATTAACAAGCCAACTTCCTTTACTCTGGATCCAGGACTCGATGCTAATAACGTCACTGTGTTAGTAACAGGTAATGTGGACACAGTTGCTAATTGTACATCCTTGTATCTTTACTCCATCCTTTGCATATGAACAATTAATTAGGTTTCAATGCAAACTTTTTTCTACTGAACTAAGAAGCCGTGCATCAATCTTACCTTGATAATGTTAATTATCTTTTTTTCACGTGGAAAAGGATGCACAATTTTTCTATTCATAAATTGCAATATAAACAGTCTATTTTTCTATACATTTGACAAGAAATGAGTTAAATCCCTCTTTCGTCAAGTTTAATTTAATTCAAAAAATTGACAGTAGTTTAAAGTAATCTTTTTATAGGACCTCACGGTAAGTCTCTCACAGTTCAAAAAGCGACACTACGAGGATTGACTTACACAATAATTGCTGATGAAGTTGGTGAACATATCATTCAGGTTCTTGTAAATGGACAACACATCAAAGGATCACCATTTAGGTAATGAATTTTTACGTAAATAGGTGAAAAAGTACATTTAACAAGTGTTAATTCAAATAGATAACATAACAAATATTTATGTGTTGAATCGTCGTATTATATTTTAAAATACTTTTTTTGTTTCTAGATCTCAAGCTTACAATGCTAAGGCTATTCAAGTGGGAAACATACCGAATGGTGTAATTAATCAACCAGTCGAATTTGAAAGTAATTATAAAAATAATTTGCACACTGAAAAAAATGATAATGTCAATTTTGACATACGAGTATGGTTAGGACCTATAGCTGAAACAGCAATACTGTATTGCTGTTCTTAAAATACAGTATTGGTGTTCTCCACATACATATTACTGTCTCTCACATACATATGGCTGAAACAACAATACTGTATGGGCTGCTCCATATCCACCAATATAATATGTGAGAATTGGCCATATTTATGGCAGTACCATAAATATATTTTTTTCAGTCGCATATATAAATTATTTTAAATTTCTAAATGTATCATGTACGCGGTTTGCTTTCTTTTAGTCGATGGCTCGAGAGCTGGTTCAGGGAATTTGGAAATCCTCGTCAACGGTGGGCATGTGACGAGTTTTGTAAGAGCACTAGGTAGTCAGAGATTCTTGGCTTCTTTTGTACCTCACGAAGCAGTTGCACATTTAGTAGAAATGACCTTCAATGGCGAGACAGTACCCGGTAAGTGTCTTTATAAAAAATTATATTTTAATCTTTAAACATTTTCATGCTTTAACCGCAGGGATAGCTTCGAAACTAAATAGAAACCAAAAAATAATTTAGTTTTTGTGCAGAAATCAAAACTAAAAAGTCCCTGCATTAAGTTTTAGTGCTGGCAACAAAACTAAAAGGTCCCTGTATTTAGTTTTGGTGTTGGTAACTAAACTAAAAGACTGGGAATTAAGTTGCGGTGCGCCAAATTCAAAACAAAACAGGGTAACCATTATGTTTTTGAGGTCAATTTGACTGAAACTTGTTACTCGAGGGTCGTCGGGGTCGTTGATTATGAATCTAACCACACGGGAAAAAAAAGTACGTGAATCCTTCCTTGAAAGTGCTTAACTTTTGGATAGAACACAAAATACAAGACTGTATCATATACTTTTTATTAAAAAATATAGAAAAGTCCTAGAGTTATTCTAGTACTAGTATGGGCAACAGTATTTTTTAAATTTTAACGAAAAGTCATTTGTTCAGTTTTATAAAGTACGTGAAAGATTAGTTGACTGCGCTTGAAAATTCTGTAGAGCATGCGCAGTGTGCGTTGCGCGTTTCTACCCAAGGTAAATGCCAGCTGATCGTCTGTTTCCATTTGTGTTAATTTCAGATGTGAATATACTATTATTTTATGAAGAACAAATAGTGTTAATATATATATTTGTCTTCAAGAATTGACTTTCAAAAAAATATTTTTTATTTTGTGTTTCTCACAAAACAGAATGTTATGTAAGTCTCAGTTTTCAGTGAAATAGCATATCTCAGAAGTCGTGAAAAATTTCACCATGTGGTATATAAGAACAATTCGATACGTACTTTTAAGTGTTAAGTGTGTGTTTATATTTAAGTTATACGCGAATATATGTGTGTGTTATAGGTTAGTTCATAAGTGTTGACGAACGTCGAAAAGTGATACAATAATTGTTCTTTGTTTGTGTGATTAATTATCCAAATATGTGAATGAATGAGTGAATTTCAGAAAAACTGTGTGAACAAGTGAAAATTATTTTTTTTATTTTACAATTTTTTTGAAAGCCAATGAAATTCTCAAGCAAGGTACTAGAAATTTTCATTGACTGCTTTTGAAACTCTCATGCAAAACCAAAAGTACTAGACTGTTTTTAGTATTTTGTGTCGTATCCAAAAGTCAAGTACCGCGTCAATGAAAATTTCACGTACTTTTTTTTCCGTGCACAGATTTTTTATTTTGATATCATATTCGCTTATTTAATAAGCGAATCCAATCATTTTTGAAAATAGTTGTATTTACGGACAGTGTAAGTCAATTTTTTAGCTTCCCAACTGTCAAAAAAATGATTTTTGAAGGTTAATTTAGTTTGCTGTTAGCAATATCGCTATATATTCCTAAAATAGAGGGTTCAAGCTTTAATTTGGCTCCTGTGACAAGTCTCTAGCACGTCGAATTTACCCGGCAGAAATGATCAAAAACTGAGAAAAACATGATTTTTGGGGATTTACCCCCACTTTACTGAAAATCCTGACGTGATAAGAGGTTTTCGTTGACAGATTCGGATTCAGCGCACCAAATCTCAGACAACGGAAATTTTTATTTTTTTGTAGGCTTGTATTATTATTTATATGCAATAAAGATATTACTTTATTGATGTAAATTTATTATTATAATAATATATTGTTTTTATGGTAAATATAACAATTAAAAATGCAGAAAATTGCAAATGAAAAGTTAGTGCTGCGCAGTAGTTGAAGAAGGCTACGATAGTAAATTTAAAAATTGTCAGAGACTAATGTACCGATAGATTCAAACATGCAAGCATGTTTTGTCACTCACAAGATTAATTTTGAATGACAATCTAAAGGTGAACAATTTATTTCAGTATTAATGTTAAGAAACTTTTACCTATACAAGGAGAACAGCGCTTCGGGGTGTGTGTGTAAATATTTAAAAGCAAGAATTTTTTATAAGGCAGTTTTTGACAACTGCCGTATAAAGTCTTTATAAGGCATTTTCTCATCTACCATTCTACTCATCTAAAAAGTCTTCCTCTTTACGTCCTTGTCACATAATATACTATTTTAAATTTTTTTTCCTTTACTTACTATAAACAATACAAAAATTTTTTCTTGCATTTATGTTAAAAATCATTTCTTAAAAATACAATAAATTGTTTAATAAACAATAAGTTATTATTGAAGCATATTTAACAAAATAGTTATTTATGATATACAAGTGCGTAAAGTGAGTGATTATACAAGTGTGACATTTGCAGCACGAGCCGAAGGCGAGTGATGCAAATCACACGAGTATAATCAGCTTTACGCACGAGTGTCATACAACATTTTTTGCAACACTCACCTTCCACCCTCACCGAATTTTGCAAAAATATTGATAATATAAGGACAACATTTCTATGCAAGTGTAGTAACTATGGGGGGAATTGTAGTAGTTCATTTGTATTTATATAATATATATATTTTATTTTTTTATATATACGAATATATAAATAAATGAAACATAAAAAAACATATACATACTATGTATACAGGCATAATCATTAAAACATACAAAACAGTGCGTAAAGTTAATCACTTTACACACCGTTTTATAAAGAGGTTCTTTACACATACTTTTCGGTGTGAAAAATTTAACTTTAGAGGTTAGTGTTGCAAAAAATTATTTATATATTATAATTATTATCCACACATACGTTAGGAGTTTTCAGTACCGAGGGCATCGATCATCAGGAAGGCCAATTGAATTCAGTCACATTTGTGAGATCATTAGCTAATTGTTCTTAAAATTTTCAAGTTTTACTAACTAAAATTTTGTTAATAGGAAACAACAATGATTTTCTTTTTAAAAACACGGCTTTTAACTGTGAAAAAGAATTATCTATTTCCCGCAGTTTCAAAATAAGCAGTTAACCCATTTGAACATGTCGTATAGGTATTCTATTAGTTTTGGATCCAAAGTTACATTTACATATATAATTTTTTTCTATAACTAACGCAACAAGTTTGTGCATTTGCAATTACACTTTTCTCAGAAATTTCCTGGTGAAAGTTACACGCGTGTCATGTCATTCATTGCTCATAACCTTCTAGTGATATCTTAGTGTCGTCGTCACAGCTAAAGCAATTCCAGGTTCATTGACACAAACCTTCATGTATTTTATTGCCTATATACTTTATGTCAAATATTTCTACGAGGAGATATATTCATAATCAATTCTATGATGAAATAAATTGTTTCCAAAAAGCGTAAAATAGAAATTACAAAATATATTCTGCAAGAATGTCTAATGGAAAAGTTGTAAAATTATTTTTGTCCACATTTTCAAATACGTTCTCTTTTCTACTTATGAATGTTTCACTAAGAAATATATAAACCATATAAAGTATATGATGTTTAAGATGTAGATTTTCAGAATTTGATGACTTGGATTTCTATTGATTTTTTATTATCTCTCACAATTTTACATCTCATGAAATTCAAAACTCGAGACTGATATTGTGAGTAAGATGAAAGTTTGTTCCATTTTTTGATAAACAGACAAATTTTTTCATAGAATGATTTTCAAATTAATAAATTCAAATTAAAGCAAATTATTTTCTTAAAGGTGAACTTGATGAGGTAAAACGATGAATAAAATTAATGTATTAGAGGTAGACTGGTGTCGTTTATATATCTTTAGATTCTATTATGTGCGCGACATTATTTGATTACACCTTTCACTCTGTTAACTTATCATTTCAAAAAGTATGTTTTCGAACAAAATTATTTGATAGAAATCATGTTCTGTGAATTTATTTTCTTCCTTTTCCAAAGTCAAAAGGATCAGATTTAAACAGTAAAAATGAAAAAAAAATAATATGCACTGATTCAATTAATTTTTTACAACACTGAGAGAAATGGATGGTAAGATTTTGATGTTAAAAAGTATAGATATTACCCGGTACCATCACCATTATGTTATTGAGCACCATCAAAGATGTTACAAAAATATGGTTATGTTATACCCGCTACCATCAAGACTCATAGTTACTCAGTACAATCTAGATTGCTGTCCGTGTTTGTATCATCAAAGATGGTACCTGGTACAATCTATGTATAGATGTACCCCGCAACATCTATTTCTCTCAGTGAACTCAAGATGACGACAAAATTAAAAATCAACCGAATGTAAATAAAAATCGTTACTTGGGGGTTTTTTGGGGTCACTGACAACAAATATGATGACTGATTTTAAAAAATATAAATGGTTGTGATTTTTTAAAAATTTATTGGATTTTCCTGATTTTTCAAAAATTCAAAATGGCAAAACCAGTATGGCTAACAAATTTTTAAAAAATTTATCAGATTTGCTTTTAACTTGCAAATCAAGAATTTTGACACTCTTAAGTATGGTACTTGGATTTTCAAATACGTTTTGTGAAGTATTATTTAGAAATCCTACAATATATCGAAAACTGTGTTTTATTATTCAATTAACTTTTAAATACATAGGTATACAAAAAGTCAAGTCAATATATAGTTAAATTTATTTTACTGTAAATGTAATGCTCATCTTTCTCTTCTGTTTTGCACGTTTCACATTCCAACTATAGAACAATCGAGGGCAGAAGAGGAAATATCCCTGGAGACATCGAAAGAGAGAGTCAAATTCCGCATTCCCCCTTCTCCTCTTTCTATCTTATTCCTTCATTCTTCATACAAAATTTCCAAAAAACCATTCTGTTTTGCAAGTCACTTGGTTTTCGAATATTTTTGAGTTCGCAAAATCCAGTATAAAGAAAGAGAAACAAAAAAACAAAAAACTTTTTTAAAGGGATATTCTGGTCAAGGATTTAAAAAAAATCAATCTTTCTTTTTTTTGCTTCAACCTTTTTAAAGAAATATCCTTTAAATAGGTTGCCCGGAAACTTTTATCCCCGAATACTCTTCAAATTCGAATCAACGAATTTCGCTGGTTCAAATTTAGGGA